AATTAAAAATTATTTTTTATTTAGTTAAATTTCTCATCAAGTTTGTTTGCAAAGGATAAGTTTCGTCTCTAGCCTAAAACTGAACATTGAATAAAAACAGCAAAAGCTTTTTCAGAACTTTCCGAATTGTCTTGGACGGTTGTCCCTCAAAGGCAAAGTGTTATATTATATGAACAGCTTTTAAATTTAAGGTGTTTCATTTAACGATAAAAGTAATTTATTCGGACTTTTTGATAAATAAGTTTCAGAGAGACATTCGATTTTTGAAGGACGGGCTGTTATAGTGATTTGTGAACGGAATCACGCAATACGTTGGGTATACACTCCAGCAGTGGCGCCCAGACAGGTTAGCAAGGGGTGCAACTGCATGTGCTTTCGTGATGGGTAGGTGGGTAGGTGGGTGGATAGGTATAGTCCCTAGTCCCTATGGTTATAGGTACCTAAATAAAGTATAGGAGTAAAGTATAACAATGCTACACGACAACTCATATGATGTTACAAGTTACTTATAGTTACAAGTTACAACATATTAAATGATAAAGTAATAGAAAAATCATCTGAATCAAGAATTATACAATATTCGAATATTAATGTTGTACGCTGTTTAGCTGATACGCTCGTATATTTAATATTATGAATTATTATATTTTTGTATACAAATCAAAATAACAATACGGGTATTGCTACATGGTGATAAGATACCAATAATAGCGTATATTAGGTATTTATTTTTAGAAATGTGTTTCCCTGTTCCCTCAATATAACTAGCCAGCAACCACCCTACCCGGCCTATCCATTGGCTTCACGATAATTATTAATTATTATGACCGATAATCGGTTAATAAATTCCAGTATTCGGTATTCCACACTTTCCACTAGATATTTTAGTGAATTTGTGTTGTTCGTCTGTTGACTGTTTGATCTACGAACTTCAAATTATTTTGTATGCGTCTATGGCAATTTTTTATTGGTGAAATTAACTATCACTTATTATTATTCAATTTTCACAGTTATTTATTAAAATATTACATTACGTTCAATAAAATAACATTTTGTTTTTAAATAAAAAAAATGGGTGGGTGGGTGGGTAACTTTGGATAGTTGCATGTGCTCTCAAAATACCTCTGTGCGCCACTGCACTCCAGTACATTAATACGAGTCTTCACGAAGGATAATATATCTCTAACGGTAGGGAACCCATTCGCTAGTTGAGATTCAAAAAGCTTGATTGAATATATCGGCAAGCATCGCTGGAAAATAAAAAAAATGAGGTCACCCAGATTTGGAAGTTTCATTGACTCAAGTACTGAAACCCCCTCGTCGTCAAAGTTCTATAAAAATTTATTTAAATCAATTAATGTTTCATTTGCGAATTTGACCACGTTTAATAATTGGTCGATAATTGTAGATGTTACTAACTGCGGTTTATCAAATCGTGCGGTTAATGTAGCCCACGCCAATTGATAATTACTGCCGCATACCGGTATGCTGGCCATAGTGTCTAGCGCATTGTCTCGCAAGCAACCTGTTAAGTAATAAAACTTATCTATTTTTGTGATATTGAGGCGTTGGTCGACCGTGGAGATAAAACGGTCCCGGAAATTCAACCATTTAAAAATATCTCCGTGAAAGATGGGCAGCGAAATTTCTGGTAAACGTGTCAGTTTTATATTGGACATAAAACGTACACAACAATTTTCGTTGTACGATGACCGCATGAGAAAGAGCTCAACTCTTCTTATCTTACGTCTACCACTGAACATACGCTGATTTCACATAGACAGGGGGAGAGGAATTAGAGTTCGATGAGTTATACTAAGCAATAATACGTAATTAAAGGAAATTTTAAAAAGTATTAATTTAATTTAACCATGTTATTTTATGTTTTTCAAAATAATAATTTTAAGTGCCTAAATTTTAATTTTTAATAATTTAAAAATTATATTTTTTCACAGTTAAAAATCAACAAAAAAATATAATAAATATTAATTTAAAAATATTATCATTATTATTTTTGTCCAGTTTTTATTTTTTTAAATATGGTCATTGGTCACCCTATATTAAGACAGATGTTTGGTGTGGCAGTTGGTCCTGCGTCATAGAGTCTCTCGAGCAGATTGTTCTGAGGCCAGACCGTTATATTTTATTGTGATAATAAAATATGTGTTTAATATTATAGTGATTCTAGTGTTCTTATTTAGTCTCTTTTAATCATTCCACTGTTAGCTATGAAAGGGAAAGATAGTTAATCTATGATTTAAATTAATAAAGCATTGCCAATGCTACAGTTTCCCCTATCCTTAGGTTTTACCTAAACAATGATTTATCATTGAATTCAAGAATAAAAAAAACCCATCAATGTGCCATACTAAACATAAGGTATCAACTCTAGAACCTAGATACTCTAGGTATCTAGCACAACCCAAACCCTACAATATAGAACACAATAAAACAACTTCAAATAAATGCAAACAAAATATGAGATAAAACATAATTATAATTTATATTTTTATAAAAATACATCACTTATACTAATTTTTATTTAAAAGACAATGGTAATACTTTGTATCAAAATTTTATAACTATGTATCAATGTATTTTTTCTTTATATATGACAAAATATTTTGCAATTAAAAAAGTTTGCTAAATAAAAATAATTTTATAATTATTGATAATTACAAGTAAAATAAACAAAAAGAAATTATTTACATAGCAAATGTATTTTAAATAACATATTTAAACTTGATATCAGTATATTAAAAATGTATATAAGGAACAAGTAACAATGGTGTCACAAACATTAACAATACAATAATTTCAATGTTATTTTAAAATCTAAAAACATTTACTCGTTTAAAAAGAATAAAATAAGATAGATACAAGATAGGAGGCAGGGACGGACTAGCGCACCGGGACGCCGGGAAATTTCCCGGTTGACGAACATGAATTAAGTAAAAATCATTCCGATTGTGCAGAAAATTTTATGTTGTTTAAAAACCAATTAAATATTAAACATTTAATTTACGGACAAATGACATCTCAAAGACAAATGGAAGTGAGAAATAGGCAAGAAATTATGTTACGTATTATTGAAACTATAAAATTAATTGGGAAGAGGTCTTTCTTACCGTGGAACGGGTAACTCTGAAGCTGTTAATAATTTGTTTAACGAGACTATTAATCACGGTAACTTTTTAGAACTTTTAATTCTTTTAAATAAATTTGATCCATTATTAAAAAATCATCTAAAAGAATCGTGTGAAAAAAGTGAAGAACACAGAAAATTTCGGATTGAAAACGCAGGTGTTGGTATAATTAGTAAAGGAAGAGGTAATTTGGAGACATTTTTATCTAAAACAATGGTCAATAATATTATACAAATTATCTCAAAACTGATTAAAAATAAAATAAGTCAGGGAATATCGGAAACAGAATTTTTTTCTTTGCAAATCGACACTACTCAAGATATAAATGTACATGACCAATATTCTGTCATTATTCGTTGTCATAGAAAATAAAATTAATGAACGTCTGATTTCGTTAATTGACTGTAAATCGACAAAAGGAAAATGTATATCTAATTATGTTTGTGAAGATTTGAAAAATTTAAAAATTAATATTTCAAAATATATTGATACTTCAACTGACGGAGCGGCAAATATGCAAAGCCAATACAATGGATTTGGTTCGTGGTTAAATAAAGAAGTCGGTGGTGATTTGTTGAATGTTTGGTGTTACGCACACATTTTAAACCTTGTAATGGCTGATGTGACTGAAAATAAAACTTTTTCAATTAATTTATTTGGAGTGTTAAACACATGTGCGATATTTTTTTTAAAAATCGTTCATTAGAATGCAAACTTTAAGAAAATATTAAAAAAAATATATCACGTCAATAGGAAAAACTCGTTAGTGGTCAAAAGATAGAGCGTTAACTAATATATTTGGTTGGTACAATTGTGATTCAAATTCCTGTATATATATTGATTTTATAATGGCTCTAGAAGAAATGTCTTCTTCTTTAGAATTTAATTCATCAACACGATTTACTGCAGGAAAAATTAATTAAATTTGAAACAGTTCTTACTGGAAAAATGTACTTGAGATTGTTATGAGCATATGATAAGTTGTACTTAGCTTATAAGTTTATTTTAAGTTTATCTTCTTTACAAGTAACCTGTGAAAGAAGTTTTTCTACTCTTAAGTATATATTAAATCGATTAAGAAATTCATTAAGCCAACCTAACTTAGAAGCATTTATATTAATGTCATGTGAAAAATATATATTAACTAAACTTAATAATGATGAAATTATTAATAACTTAGCTATGACTAGTGAACATTTAATAAAAAAAACTTTTGTTTTAATTTTAAAACGCTTTTATAATAAATTAGCTAATAAGTAATAAGGAATAATTGGACAAATAATTTATGTGTTTGATGTTATATTTTTTTAAAAATCTGAAGTGTAAAAAATGAGTTCTATTTAATATTTTAATAAACTTTTTTATATTCAATCAATATGTATATGTATGTGGCCACTCTAATTCTAAATCCCGGTGACATTTTTAATCCCAGTTCGCCCCTGATAGGAGGTATGAGTTACAAAATAAAATTATTTAGTTTATCATTATTTGGTTTTTTTCCTTGAATACTTTTTTGCCATTTATGGCACAACAATTAAAACCATTAAAAAAATATTACATTCTTGATTTTTTAATAAAGTTCTCGATCCATAAGAAAAACAATATATCCAAATAATTAATAATACGCTTCAATATGTGTCCGTGTACAAACAAATGTCTCATTGCCTACATGGCACAAAATATATAAGTGGTCCAAAAACACCACTTTCAATTTATTTTTTTAAATAATATTATTTTCGTTCTGTATTTTTTACAGTCTTTTTTTTTAATCATATTACACTGTTTTCTTCATAACTATTGTTTTTATAAACCAAGACTCTTAAAAAACCATTTAAATAAAAAAACTAAATAAAATATTATGATGGAAATAAATGGTTTTGATTGTTCCATAATAGCAAGTTTACATTTTTTTAATTAATATTGTTGACAATATGAAAAAATAAACCAAAAAAATTACATAACTAATTTATGTCTAATTTTGCTCATTACTGATGAAAGCCACAGGTGGAATATTGGGTTTAAGATCTGAAAAACAAGCGGCAGCTTTAGCATAATCCCATCCATTTTCTTCTAAACATCTGTACAAAACAAATTAATAAATACCAAATAAAAAACAAGAAACTTAACTATAGGTCTAAACAGCTTGAAAAACAATTTTCAAGGTAAGTCTGATTTTACATTGTTATCAATTTGTAAATATCAGATGAAGATATTTCCCAAATCATGTCAAACATTTACAATACTTTTACTTTTAATATTAACTAGATTAAACATATGTAATGACTTACTTTTTAGCCCACTCATTATTCATTCCAGACTCATTTGAAAACCTCTTAACCATAGTCAACTCATCAGGATTTGCATTAACATCACTGATCACATTTATAGGCACTCCAGTAGATAATTCATTTATAGGCAAGGAGGCAGGAGCTGAAGGTGATATTGTATTAACCATATTAAATGAGGAAGCTGGTTGCTGTTGTGGGTTTGGCTGGAAATTTACAGTAGCAGCAGGTGCCATTTGTTGGATATTTGGAGTGGATGTCTGCATTCCCCCTTGATAAGATGACTGCTGTGGATTCATAGGAGCAGTCATTGGTGATGGCTGATTAGATGAAAATGTGGATTGTTGGTAAGATGGTGGTGAGTAGCTGGATGTGGGTAGCTGTTGACTGGATGATGATGAAAATGACGATTCCATGCCTGAAAATGACGATTCCATGCTAGCTATTTCATCAGTATCCTCCATAAACATCATAACAGTTTGGTTACTGTTGTTATTAGAATTATTTGTTTTTGATGACACTGGTTTTGGTTTAAAAACATGGAATCGTTTCGAAGTTTCCTAAAATTTAAAATATTTATATTATAACATAAACTTAAAATTAAAATCAAAACAAAAATACACTTACTAATAATAACTCATCAGTAACTAATGTTACAAAGAGCATATCGCTATATATACTCCAACCACTTCCGACTGGCACTATACAGAATGTTCTGCAGAATGATCGATATACATGTCTGGATTTGGTTTCTTTGAAGTCTTCAGCAAACACACCATTGAGTACAATCTGAATCATTGCATCCTAGAAAAAACAATTATGAAAATAAAATACATAAAAACATTAAAACATTATAATACTAATTTAGTTATATAATTATTAAAAATCAACTGCGCAAGAATGAGTAAGATACTCACAGTGGCCAATGGAACATCAACTATAAATGAGCCAAAATCATGCTTAGATTTGGGTAACTTGTCAAGGAAGTTCATTATGTTTTCTTTGCCTTTGTGTAAAAAACGACTTTTTCCTTGTTTGTTTCTGTCAGATTTTAAAAAATTTCTACTTTCATATAAGTACTGTGATAAACTTCCTTTAACACTGAAATAAAATATATTTTGAATGATTAAATTATTAAAAAATGTTGTTAAATAGATATCCTTAATACCCATATAATATGATACACCTACTTTTTAAATACAAAACTACTGGATAATGTAAATGTGGCATTTTCATGGTAAGCTACTGAGATCATTTTTCTGGACACTTGATTATCATACAATTCATAATATTGAGTGAGAAAAGATTCAACTAAAGACATGACAGGATTTGGCAATTCAGAATTATGACCTTCTGGTATTGGGTAACAATTACCCAAGTTAATTGGCATTTTAAACTTGGATCCTATTGCACTGTACCGAGTTGGTAGTTCCGAGTTATCCTGAAAACAATTAAATAGCATTACCCTACATTCTAAACATAATAACTTAATAAATATAAAGGGAATTTAAAATTTTTTAAATTATTGGTCATCAATTTTTTTTCTTATTATCAAGTACTGCATTTACTCTTGCTGGTCAAATAATACATCAAAAACTAAATATTTCTTTCAACTTAACTTGAGAGCATAAGTTATTTTGATTTATATTTTCTAAATGGCAAACATATATATATATATATATTTAAATGCTATTCAGTTATAATATAATATATTATTATTCTTTTAGCCAAAATTTTCATTCAAAAAACAGGCTGAAATGCCAACAGGTGTTCAAAGTATTCTGTTTAATTAGATGCATGAATAAAACATTGAAAAATCTCCCTATTTTCTAATACAACTACTATTACACATACATAAAATACATGATATTATAAATATATATAAGATTTATGTTTAATTAAACCACCATTACACAATTATTGTCAATGTATTTTTTTGTTTTTTTTAAAATACAACTGAATTAAAACTTATGTTTATATTAACCATACTGAAACTCTTTTAATTTTAAATTCAAACCAGGTAAGATGTACTTACTTTAAACACATTACCTTACAATAAACTAGTACTATAGTAAAAACATTAGTCATGTAGTTCTTTGCTAACATTTAGCGTACAAATGGAATAAGATAATACAGAAGACACTTACCAACTTAGTTAGCATAGGAAAAAATTGTTGTAAATCCCTATAAAACAAATAAAGTATAAATATATATTAAATGGTGTTAAAACTGAAACATTAAAAATATATATGTACCGCTTGTAATGCTCTATGTCCTCGGTATCACACACAGGATTTCTTGACAAGTTCAGCACTTCAATAGTATAACCAGAAAGACATCTTAGTTCTTTTAAATCAGAAAACTGTAATAAAAATAGTTTAGCATGTAATTTGTTCATAAAAAAAAAAAAAAAGGAAAAATATAAAACACATTACTTTGTTCCCAGCCAAATCCAATACTTTCAGTTCAGGAAACAATCTACGTATCCATATAAGTCCTTCACCTAAATAAATGTGATTATTTTCAAGACTCAAACCGTACAAATCATGTTTGGTATGTTGAGCAACTATATTCAATGCTGCCAAAAGAACTGCTGGTCGATTTAATGGTACAAACAGTTGGTTATTGGTAAATACTATAATAAAAATAAATATTTTTTCTTATTTCTTTTAAATCTGTAAATCTGTGATTAAATTAATATAAAGTAATCTTATATATACATGGACAAGCATAAAATTTGGACAAATCCAAACTTTTAGTACTGGAATTGTAACGGGTTGCCAAAGCTTCTATCATTTTCTCCCTTACTTCACTGGATACTGGTGTGAATGATATAGGACCACGAGGAGGTAAATATAATAACACCTTTATAATTAACTAAATACAAATATTTTTGTTAAAATCCATTTTTAAAACTCTAAAACTTAATCATTTCAACTTACTTTTCGATCATCTCTTTGTGTTATCTTATAACTGGTGTTATGCAATGTTTTAGCAACTTTGTAATCATCAACAAGAAATCTTAATGCATTATCAAAATATTGTTTCTGTAAATAAATATTGATAATTTTAACACATTTTATTAGTATATAAATAGCATATAAATAGCATACATTATATGGATAAAATTCAAATGGTGCAATATAAGTTTGGATTATTTTAAGTACTTCGTCACCATCTTCAACATTTGGTACCTTAAAATTAAAAATAATTGTAATTTAAATATGTATAATTCATAAATTAAAAATTGAAACTTACAAATACTGAGTACCATCCAGTACTACTTTCTTTTAAAGACCATGATAAGTTTCTGAAATTACCATGACCACCGCGACTATTTCTTTCAGGAAATGACCTTTTGAATTCCACATTTACAAGTATATTATTTCTAGAAATTGTAACTAACAAATATAAAATATTTACCGCCGACCAGGATTATTTCTAGATGGCCCATTTCGATTAGAAAATTCACTATCCAATTGATCACGAACTAGGTTAGTTTTACTATCCCAACTTTTACGGAAATGATTACCACCGCGATTGTTTGCTTTAAATGTCACTTTTTTATTATAGCCATGACGATCTGAGTATCCACCACCTCCTCTATTGCTAGCTCTCGATGTTCGATCATCATGTTCATTATTCCGTTCATTACCTAAAATTTAGAAATCTAATGATGAGTAAGAGCGTGATTAGATTAATGCGTTTTCTTAGGAATAGCATACAAATGATTTGAATTTGAATGTTTACTTATTAGTTTTTATTTTTTATGAATTAAAACATTTCAGATTTCGTACATGAATTATTTTAATTATAACTGCTATTTTACATTAAAAATTCTAGTAAAAACTTTTCTCTAACAAATGTACTGTATTTTTGTCAAAGAAACAATTTTAATGTTTCTGCGCAAGAATTTTAATTAATTTATAGTTTAAAATATAAAATATTGACGATTGGATATTTCTATTTCATATTTCGAAAAGTTCTGCCATAGAAATATACACCAATTTAGTATTTTTGAAAAGTAACTATTATATTATTGAAAGTATTATGGTTAAATATACTTACTGTATATCGGTTTACTAACTATATTTGTATGTATTATTCACTATCATTGGCCGTAATAATATAATAAATACTTAATAGAGATTAGAAAAACTTGGTATATTTTCTATTTTTTTAGGTTATTTTTTAATATAATGGGTACCTAAAACAATCTATTTTTAAGAAAGTAATAGCTATATGAATCACATAATACCAGTGAATACCTATAAGTTTAATATATTCAGATAAATTAGTGTCGGTCGAGTAAAATATCATACTAGTCGATAAGAAACGTAAATGCAATCATTAAAATTGAAAGGATATGTAAAATATAAATAATAGAGATATTTGAAATATAAAATCTATTATTTTTTAACAGAAACAAAGGAAAATGCCAAATTGAATATTTCAATATTGTGTTTTTATGAAAACAGTAAGTACGCTAGTGGTAAATACCGTAAATTAAGTTGGTCAACGTTTTATTAGGTCGTAGTTTTTTAAGCCCTTCACCCCCACCAAGCCCCAAAATATAAACGTCGACTTGTACGATATACTCACGTGAATAGATGCTGTGAAACCTGCCAATTGTGTTACGTCCTCGCGATCTACCAGCCATCGCGTTTAGTAAGTCGTCTAAACTTTAAGCCTGAATAACACAACAAATGCCAATAGTGAAAAAGTAAAAATAGCGTACGTTAAAATGTAAATAGAAAACGCACTGTCGAAGTGTCGATTGACAAGCACTATAAAGTATAAAGTATAAACGATTACGATAATACACAACGCTCGGTAGTCAACACGCTTAAAGATAATCTTTAATCGTGGTAGTCAGCGGTAAAATAGTAATCTATGGTCCAATCACGAATTTAGATATGATTGGTCGCAAAACGATAACATTATGCTCTTATCAAAAACCTCAAGACTACTAACGCTTTTAGCGGTGTTTGTAATGTACTACGATTTAGCTTTGAATTACAAGTAATAATTAATTTACTAATAAGTAATAACAATACTATATAGATATATTATAAATTATAATATTATTTATTTATACAATAATTAGATGGTTATGAAATTATGAAAAACAATTAAGTGTACACACAGGATCCCCCCTCTGATCATGGGTTCCCGGGTATGTGCACGGAGTCCCCTCCCTAGCAAAATATAATACAAAAATATAATATAACAAAAATAATACAATAACACTATTGCTATTTATCTTTACTACAAGCACATAAATAAGGGTTACTACTTTCTATCAGCATAAAATTTTGATGTTCTCTAAAATACATATTTTAACGATTAAATGCAGTGTTGTGGCTCTCTCTAGAGAACAGCCTTAAAAAACTCGTTTGCTCAAACAAAGTACTATAGATTTCGCAATTATTTATAAAACTATTAATATTACCATTGTGTATATATAATATATATACTTAATGATATTACTAAGACAAAATCTTTCAGGACACGATAGAAGACGATTATAATTTCCATAAATATTATTGATTTTTAACAGAACTTGAAAAATCCAAATTATTTACCCATGCGTATTTTTCAGGTGATCTATTTTCCGCCAAAATCAAACCTTTTCGTTTATCGCTTATACAACGATAATATACATATATTATATTTCTTTTTTCTACCACCACAAATTTTAGTTTCTATAATATACGTAGGTATATAATATGATATTTTATTTCTTACAATCAGGGATTACCAAAATATAGGAACTGAAATTCGTGAAATCGGAAAAAGGAAATAAAATGTATATATATAATTGTACTGGAGATAAACGGAAAAGTCGATTTTGGCGGAAAACAGCGACGCCCGTATTTTTCATACTGGTGAAATGTTTACTGAAAAAAAAGTGCAATCGTTCTATTTATAAGTACTTTTAAACTATAGGTGATATTCATTTATAAAATAATTATTTTGTATCTATATCATGCATTATACCTATACTCTATGTCATTAACAATATAACAAAATACACATCATCATTGCTGACGATGCAGTATAATCACAGTAGTGCATAGCACACGTTATGTGTAATCTATGTCGAGTACTACACTTTTATTTAATAGATTTTTTTTCCATTCTATTCATTTTATTTGTATAATAATAATAAAAATTGAAGAAATATTCGTACCTACTATAAATTATAATATAAAGGCATAAGTGAAAACATATTTTCGCGTGTTATGTGTAGTGAATTATAAAACTAAGATAATATATATTATATTCTGTCTATTTTTTCGTGATATTTACAGTTCGAATTTTGACAATAATTAATAACAATGGATTACGTATCATGTACAAGTACAAAAATCTACAGTAGGCATGTCAAACACGCGGTCCTCAGCTCATCTTTTGTATCCGAACTGTAACGTTAAATTTTTTTTTTTTATCCATATTCTATTAATTTATTAGTACCTAGTTATTACAATTTATTATAAAATCCATCTCTTAAAAATTATTCTAATTTTTAATTTTTTTAACATTAAAGATTTCAATATTTATAAATGTAATATAAATGTAATGTAATATATAGACATAATATATAGTGCTGTACGTTAACTATACTTTTTAAGCATGATAACTGATAAGGGTAACTTTTTGTATAGACAGTATAGAAATACAGAATATAATACAACAATTTAATATAATGGAATATTAATATTACTCTGGGTTCGATATAAACACTCACAACAATATAATATAAATATCTTTATTGAAATTAATATTATGCAGAATAATATGAACGTGTATAAAGAAAAATAACAGAACAAAATACGAAATATTGACGTGTAGATGCGCGTTGTACGATGCGGAAAGGCTAGTTGGTTTTAGCTAGGCAGCCGCCGATACATTATATATATATATCCTATTACGCATAACGTCGAGCCACAAGAACTTTATCGAACTCGCCAGTGGCGGATCGTGAGGTTCACGTTAAGTGGTGTACAAAAAATTTATTTTGGTATAGGTACATACCACGAATAATACCAAAATAACGTACCGTCTACTTATCTTATCTAAATTAAATTTTTTTAAGCATTTTACCCCATTAAAATGTGAACTAATGTGAGAAGTTTATTTTTCATGCATTTTGATTTTCAAAATTAAATGAGCCAAATCGTTTATACCTTTTTGTACCCAATTATTATCACCAGATTTTCGAGAAAAACTGTTATTTAATAAATATTCAACAGTAACCATGTTTGATTGTTTGATTGGTAGTTACAAACACAAAATTAAAACTACAGGTACCCACGAAAAATAATTATTAAAAGTATAAAATTAATAATATTAATATTCGTACAAAGAAACTATTAAACGCAAACCGTACACGACACGCTGTTTGACGAAACTAATGGCAAATAATAGCTAATCATAACAATATGATTTTAATCTGTTTTTATATTATGAACGTTGATATTATCATAGACATATTATAATAATAATAATAATAATAATAATAATAATAAGTCAATGGATATTATAGTAATTAGTTGATTTGACAGCTGCACACTGGCAGCAGTTGATGGATACTGTACAATGATGCGTTATCGTTTCGACGAATGACACGATATCGCCATAGCGCAACAATAAAATAGGATCAGTGCACACATTAAATGTGCTCCAAATTGCCATGTATTACTAACCGGCGTGTCGAGGCATGTAGCTAATTTTTATACGGCCGCCCAGAGCACAAACATTTTGTGCTCCGCGATATTATTTAATCGTTTATAAATATATTTCTTAACATAAAAGCTGCAAAAACTTGTTTTTATTAATATAAATATAAATATTTTTTTTTAATTACAGACCATTTGTATAATCATCAATTATATTATGTTATTATGGCGTATAATAATTTTTTATATAATTTTTTTGGGTGGTTCACGTGCTCCTGTGCACCATACCACGAGCCGCCACTGGAACTCGCCCTTCCATACGAGTATAGAATTTTCTCAAACGCCGATATACCTAGTAAACGGTGGTCGCCGCTGCATTACAAACTAAATTTTTAATGATATATCTGTAAACATTTTTTCCCTGTAGCAATATCATAAATATGACATTCAATAATCCAGTTATGAACGTAAACACATGGAACCAGTACAAATCTAAAAAAATAAAAATAATACCATTAATATTGATTTATTCAAGTAATATTATAATAATATGGTAACATTTTTGAATTCTATCAAAGTAAAGTATTTTCAAAACGCTCCGGAACCTTAAAACATTTTTTAAATGGAGAAATTTTATTAATTCATTATTGCTTGTTCATTGTTGTAAGTAATCGTAAAAGTTATTTAAAAAAATAAAATATTTATGCGCGGTATCGGTATACACCCATTGTGTACTATGAATTTTGAGTATAATTGATACATCAAAAATGTTATTCTTTATAATTTTTTTTATTAAGGTCACTTAAATCGACAAATTACACTTTCAAAAACTTTAATAATAATAATAAATTCAAAAATAATATATTTAAAAGTTCAACAAAGTTTTTAGACGTCTTAAGACCGGAGATCAGACGTCAAAGTACTACAGCAGTGTTATAAACTATTATTAAATATTATGGATATTCATCAAAATAGCATTTGGGAAAATATCCTGGGACATGATAAACCATAAACATCCAACCATTAATATGAATCCAAAATATTCATTTAAGCAGGTGTATAAAAATAAATAAATAATGGACTATACTATTATAGATAGGTAGATGTATTTTGCATTTTTGTAATTTAATTTTTTACTTTTTATGTCATGGATGGTTTAAAATAAATGTTCCATAACCATTTTATATAATGAATAGACGCATATTTCAGACCCGGGTATTATTTTCGAGGATATTTTTACCTATATTATATACATTGTCAATGAAATATTTATGTAGACGTACGTAGTATAGAGAAAGCATATAGTAGTAAGTAGATGCAATTTTCACACACAGTTTCCAACACGCACACAAGCCCAACGGCCATGTTTCCTGGTAGCGGATAAGCATAATCCGCAGTCAGTTCTTATAGCAAAATCTTTGTGGTCCACGACAACGGAAGTGCAAACATGACTCCAAATACTAGGGACGCTGAAAACCAGTAAATTTTTATGTGATCATACCAAAAATTAATGTAAATATAAGACATATATAAGCGTCTAAAAGCGTTATTAATCTTTATCGTCTTGCACAACTAACCTAAATTCTGTTTAAAATAAATTTGTGGAGATTTGACGATTTATTTAAATTTGCTTTTATCCCTAGGCATGCATTCGTCAAAATTCATAACGCGAATTCCGACGAATACGTAGAGTAAAGAGACAACAAGCTCATGACGGCGATCACAACATCATAGTAAAAAGGTAAAAAGCAATTTAATGTTAAATACTTTTAAACGCTTATGTTTTTTTACATTTAAATATAATTAATAGTGAATTGAGCCATCTACGATTTCAAATGGTGTCTTACTCGTTCTTCTATGTAAATTTTCGACATACAAAATCAGCACGATAAACAACATAAAGATGGTGGCGAGACTCTGACACACAATTATTATGCATTTGTTGAATTTTACAAGCCAATACCAATTATAAAAAAGTATAAATTAAACGTAATTTATTATAATAAGTATACATTTAAATTTGAATGTGGTTGGGGGGACAAAATTATACTTTTGCTCCCCCCCTTGGAATTGCCCCATCTGCCGCTCTTCTTCTCCGGCACCACTGATAGATTAGTATATTGAATATATAAAAAAACAGAAAGGGCAGGATTAAAACTCATAAGACTATTGATTTTCTAATAGGTAGGTAAATAATGATCACGAATTTCACAAGTTACAATATAACAATAAATTATTATACATAAAGTGTTATTTTAGGTATGTGTATTTGATACATTCTTTCTAAGTTGTGTAGCTCTTAAGTGGTAAAACCGCCGCATTTTTTAATAATTACAAATGTATTATTTATGATTATGTGCACTATTAAAAACAGAAGGTAATTAAGAAAACTTAACGTGGAATGTGCCACTAGAAAAATATTTTTCAACAAAATTCCTGGTTTTATTCCGATTTAATGTTTTTGAAATAAAAAAAAATAAATAAAAATCATAACGTTTATTAGGTTGGTATAAACATTCTTGTTGGTCGATTGTAATGTGTGCCCACGATGAAAAGGTATATAGTAAGAAGAGTATAGTAATTAGCGCCCGGAATTTTTCCGTCTCCGTTTTGAGTATAGTAATTTGCGCCTATACTATCTAAGAGACCTTCAATTAATTAATAGTAACTTAATACGCAGTTGTACATCACACTGGCGTAGAAACTAATGTTTTATCGTTTATAATCAATATAAGGTTTTAATTATATCAATATGATAGTTATCAACGAAATAATTGTTCGAGCTATAAAAAAAAAAAAAATTAAAAAAAAAATAATTGATCACGTTCAATATGTTAAAAATTAATATAAATATAAAAATTATTTATGATAAGTAAAAATGAAAATTGACTTTCTATATTTTAAACAGCTTTTTATTTAATCGTATTCAATAATTTTAAGTGTTAAATTATTTTATAAAAAAAAAATTTTTGGACATTAGTGGTAGCCGCTTCCTCAAACACCTCTGTATAATGCTGATTAACATTCAAATATATACATTTTAGACACGAATTCCGTGGCTCTCAATATAAATACATACATAAACCATCAATTTGAAGAATAGATTATGTATTAAAAAAATGATAATATCTCTTTTCTGCGAGACATACTGAGTTTAAGATAAATCAATCAATTGATGATTTAGCTATCATTTTATCATAAATATTAATACTTCAGTACTTACATTTAATTATATTATAAATTCTGATGTTAAAAATCAAATTATAAATTGTCATATTTTATTTTCGATTTTAGCCTATTCTCAAAGTATAAAAACAGCTGTAAAAGATATTGGTGGAGCTATAGACATGAAATGTTCGGTTTTCAATGCTAGCGGGGCTCCCGTTGCATGGATTAAATTTGATAAAGAAAAACCAACTCAGACTTCTGTACTGTCAATTGGTAAAAAACTTATTGTTCGACATCCAAGATTTTCATTAGGAGTTTTCTTCGGAGTCGGAAGCAGTAGTTATACATACAAGGTGTGTAATTACATACATTTTTATTAAAAAAAAATTTTTTTTTTTTTTTACTCTATTGCTATGATTAGTTTTTTAACGAAATCGTAAATAATTTATTTTTCAGATTAAGAATATAAGTAACACTGATGTAGCATCATATCGTTGTGTGGTGATGTGTGATGTCGACGATGGCAGCAGTACATCTGCAGATATTGAGTTAAAAGTTAATCAGCCTCCGGTCATTTTAAAACTTATTTCGTCTCCGGCCACAATGATCGCGAGGGAAGGTCAACCGTCGAAATTAGAATGCTATGCAGACGGATTCCCTGAACCAAAAGTTACTTGGAGCCGACAATTTAATGGCATTTTAACTACAGGAGGAAATTTCTATAGGTATCAACAGAAAAAATAAAACTCTATAATTGGATGTACGGATTAATTATCTGTTCATAAATAAATAAAACATTTTTTTTCAGAGGTAATGTCTTAAGCTTTCCAAATGTTACGAAAGACGACCGCGGATCATATTTCTGTGATGCAGTGAATAGTGATGGCAAAGGTGTCCGGCATATTGTCGACTTTCGTGTAGCATTTTCCCCAGTCATAACAGTTTCGAATATAATATATACTCATAGAGAATCTTCAAAACATGACATGGATGTCCAATGCCTCGTAGAAGCTTATCCTGCTCCGAAAATTGATTGGCTATATAATGGAGTTGTACTCCTCAACGATAATTACAATAGGTATACCAAACCGTTGAGTACTTAAAAACTTTTATTTTGTTATTTCGGCATTTAATGTGGGTTGTTCTTAACATTTAGAATCGAGGGAAACACTACCGACCACCAGTTCAGCTTTTCAAGCTTAAGTTTTCTAAACAAAAATAATCAACACGGTAAATACACGTGTAAAGCCCAGAACACAATTGGTACGGCTGAAGTCACAGCTATTGGTAAGTAGTTGTTTTCATTAACATACAGAATTGCTGTTAACTTGAGATTACCTTGATATATAAATGTAGACGAAACGAACAATTTTTTAATCAAATTTTACGGGATTAGTCGTTAGTATACACGTTAAAAAAATACATTTAAAATAAGGAACAGAAACTATCAATTCTAGATTAGGCTTTTGAATGTCTTATAATTTGACTTTAATATTTGTCTGAAATCGAAATCGTACACACATAGTATTTTATTGCAATATCATATTAATTAAAAAATACCAAATTTACACAGTTATTTAGCTACATTTTAATAAGTCAACATTCTTCGGAAATTCTATCCGGTATAATTGACGAACGTTGATTTCTTATAAAATTAATAATGCTAATTAATGCTTTATCATGCTAATCGTTATGATAAAATCTACGTGACGTGTCTTTTTGTTTGATATTTAAAGTGACATAGTATGTGTTGCAATGTGTTTAAAAATCATTTTTTTTATTATTATTATGTAAATAATTGAACTATTATTATTATTCGTTTATTTTACAGAACTACCGTGCAAACAACCATATTGTGATGCTAGACGTGTTCATCATAGAAATATACCCAATTTTTACGGTTTAACTCCATAATAATTATATTTTGAATTTTAAAATTTTTTAATCATAATTATGTCATTTCTATGGTATTTTTTTTATAATTTTATCTCGGCAATCCAAACTTATAAAATTTTAAATTATATAAATATGAATAATTGTTTGATGTCAACCAATTTTTAACTAACACAAATAAAATTTAAACATTTTTTTATAAAATTATGATGCTATTTAAAATGATATTTATTACAATCAATTGTACCTATAACCAATGATAATGGTCAACCTATTAAGAGTATTTTCAACAGCTTTGAAGTTCTCCCATTTCACAGGCTTTTCTGTGCTTACAATTTATTGTAATTATTGGTACATACCCATGATGTATAATTTGAGTTGTATTTTTAAATTATTAAAATAATTTAGCAAGAACATCTACTAAAAGTTCAATGATGGAGGTAATAGTGTGACAGCGCATTGAGTACACAGAAAAAAATATCAACTAAAAAGTTTAGATAAAAATATTATTGCCGGAATCAACACATTTTAGTTGTATGTACTGTATTTTTACTAAATAAATTAGTAAAATTAATGAACTATATAAATAGGTAATCGAAATAATGTATTCTATTCAACTATAAAATATAGTTGAAACTATAGATATTACCGGATAAAAGTAGTTAATACAACCATATAGTATTGTAACGTTCTCTAAAATTGTTCACAAATACAAATATTTTTATTATTAATCTGATTTTACCCGATGCGATACTATTGTTTGGAATCTACTAAAACTATCATGTTGTTCTAACTTTTTTTGTTGATACTCATTAACATATTTTTCAAATTTAATTTGTTCACCAAGTAAAAAGTTTGCCATCAATAATGTATTATGTTTACTTTTCACATATTTCAACACTTCATTATCAATTAGTTGATCTAAATTTTAAAAAAATACTCACATTAAACTATATTTTGTCATAAATTCAGTATAGTACTATAGTAATTAACTATTATAATATGCCTAAGATTTTCTTTTTTGAAATAATTCCTAATTGATTTCATTAAAATTGTACAAATTGAGTATAAGTGAGTGTTACAAATTTAAAATCATATAAGTACATTAAAATCATTAGGTACCTATCTCAATAATAGATTTTGCAAATTCTCAATGAATAATTTATAATTTCAAAACAACATTTGTTCATTATTAAATCGATTGATTTTATTTGTTACTAATAACACTTTTTGAAAAAATTGATTCCAATCAATTTTTAAGCATAGTTTTGTTTATTGTTAAATATCACTATCTCCAATTCTATATCTATGCAAGTTTGGTAAACACATTCAAATTTCCATTGTTTTAGGATGTTTTATATTTCCATACATTTATCAAAATGTATACAGTCAGTTGAAGACTTTTCGATATTAATTTTAGATGAAAATGTTGGTTCATGTTTTTCAGGTGCACAAACTACACCAATTTCGGTATATTATTTAGAATGTTTAGAATGTGCTAACCAATGGACCACCATAAAATAATATTACTTATAAATTTATATAAAAAAAAAATATATATATTATTTTATAATTCACTATACATATATGTAGGTATTTATATAATTTACTATAGTTAACTTATAAATAAAATTAAACAATAGTTAAATTAAATGTGTAAAAATTATATTTAATAATCTTGAAGAAAAAATACCTCCATTTTGTCTGAGTATTTTTGGTACAAACAATAGATTTACTTATACTGATGTAATCTCAAGATGGAATATAATAAATGATATGGTATTAAAAGCTGGTATACAAATTCTGGGATATTCATCCGATGGAGATACTAGATTATTAAAGTCAATGGAAATTCAAGCAAATAAAAAAGATACTCTACCTACAATAACTTATGTTCAAAATACAGTTCATATTTGTACCAAGCTCAGGACTAGACTTTTAAAGCCTAATGTCATTCTTTCCATTGGAAACTATGAGATATCTGTATCTCATTTACAAAAATTAACTGAAACAATCTCAAAGGATAAACACCTACTCACTATGACTAACGTGACCATACGTCCCGTTTTGGGCGGGACAGTCCCGCTTGGTTAGTGTCCCGCTGTCCCCAAAGAACCTAAAAATGTCCCGCTTTAAGAAAAGTCGACTTGTGGTAAGTGTTTATTGATCACAAATCACAATCATACATTATTTATACATTTATACTGTATAGACGTATAGTATAACTACGTAATATATATACAATGTAATACGTAAAACACTAAAACCCATAGTCCATAGTACATAGATCAAAATGGTACAAAAATAACTACCTTATTATTATTGTCGCTGCCACCGCGTCAACTGCGGGAATCGGCGATAAATGAAATGCTATAATATACTCTATTATTAATTTTTAGTTTTTACATTATTTATTATTATTATACTTATTAATATATTAGTTCCGTTTTTCTGTTGCCATTTTTTATACAAATAGTTTGTTTTTTTTTTCAATAAAAAAATTGTTTTTTTTTCGCAAAATGATGTGGTTTTCTTATTAAAATATACAGGTGTCCCGCTTTGAAGAAAAAAAAATATGGTCACATTAACTATGACGGATCTTAGTCCAGATGAAAAGATGAATTTTCTTTCAGCTAAAAAAATTTGTTCAGAAAAAGTAAGTGATCTTTTAATGACTAGTGTTGCCAAGTTGGTCTTTTTATGACTAAATCTGGTTTTTTCTTGCTGCATCTAGTTGTTAAGTTATTGATTCTAGTTGATGGTCATTTTTCTGGTTTATTTGATAAAAAAAATGTTCCCGCTTTTTTTTGAAATATTGATGATCACCGACAATATATATGTATACACCAATTTATTTTATTTTTATTTTTATTTATTTTTTTTAATATATCTTACTATCTTAGTACTTGGGTTAGAAACTAGTATTAGATAAGATAAGACTTAAGAATATGTAGTATTCTTAAGCTATGTTACATTATTATAGAATAGTACTGTAGCAATTAGCAGGTACAATCAAAATATAAGAATATAAAAATATGAACAATTGTTGCAAAACTGGTATTTTGTATTTTCCAAATAAAATTCTTTCTTTAATTGCAGTTTAGTACTCGACAAATCACTGAGTTTCCCTTTCCCTATTGTGTTTTTGGTTTTGTTTTTTAATTATAATACACACTTTGGCATTACTTAACTTGCTTGACACTACAATATTTAGTATAAAGGTGAACAATGGGAAAGCCGCAATACATCCAAAAGTTCCGTCAAGTATGGAAGAAAGATAAATTATTTATGGACTGGTTACAAGAGGTGAAGGATGATCCAACAAAGGCTTATTGTAAGGTATGTTGTTGTACTATCCGTGCAAGAAAGGCTGACTTAGTAACTCACAGCGATTGTAATAAACATAAATCTGCACTAGGTGCAACATGCATAAAACGTACTGGATCATTTCAATTTAAACCCAATAATTTTAAAATGCAACATGCACAAGCTAGTATGGCGTTATTTGTAAGTGCACACAGTGCAATTATTGCAATTGACCATTTAAGTGAATTGTGCAATACTAACTTTACTGGAGATAATATTAAAATGCATAGAACAAAATGTTCTAGTATTATCATTAACATTTTAGCCCCATTTTTTATAAACAACTTGAGGGAAGATATAGGAACGTCTAAATACAGTTTGCTTATCGATGAATCCACTGATATATCAGTTTTAAAATTTCTTGGTATGGCAATAATTTATTACAGTAGAGACAAAAATGATATTGTTACAACTTTCTTTGCATTAGAACAACTGGGAGAGTGTAATGCTCAAGCTATAGTTGATGCAATGAAATCTGCATTACAAAAGTACAACCTTGACATAAAAAATTTAATTGGTATCGGATCAGATAATGCAAGTGTAATGGTTGGAATAAATAAAGGTGTCTATGCTATCTTAAAACAAGAGAATCCCAATCTAATTTTAATTAGATGTGTGTGCCATTCACTTCAGTTAGCCACATCACAAGCTTGTGCTGAAACAGTTCCAAGACATTTAGATTTTCTAATTTCCGAATCTTATAATTGGTTTTCAAAATCCACACTACGCCAACAATCATACAAGGATCTTTATAAATGTATGAATGAAAATCATGAACCACTAAAAATTGTTCAAGCATGCAATACGCGATGGTTGTCCATAGAAACTGCCGTTGTCAGAATAATTGATCAATGGAACGAACTAAAATTACATTTTGAAATAAGTAGATCGAAAGAGAAGTGCTATTCTGCAGAAATGCTATATACTCTTTATAGAGATGAACATAACTTAGCATATTTGCTATTTTTAAGACCTCTTTTAGGAGAAATTCAAAGAGTTAATAAACTTTTTGAATCCGAGTATGCAGACCCAACAAAATTAGGATCAGAGTTAATTTCACTAATCACTTTTTTGGGAAAAATTATCGTTGTCCCATCATTTAATTTTACTAAATCTACTAATTTTACTGATCATTTAAATCCAAAGCCTTATCTTGGGTATGGATTTGAAAATAAAGTTGAAGATTTAAAAAAAAAAGGTAAACTCTCTTCTGATCAAGAACAAGTTCTTAGAAGTAGGTGTATATCATTTATTATTTATATTGTTAAGCAACTACAACAACGTTTACCAGAAAATATACAAATATTAAAAAAAATTGAAGTATTTTCCCCTCGGAATGCACTTAAACAATTAAAGGAGCCCATATCATTGATATGTGAACATTTTGGCATTGAAAATAAAATAATAGAAAAAATAGACTTACAATGGAGAAATATTGTTTTTCAAAAATGGGAAAAAACCAAATCTGCAGTTGAATTTTGGTCTGAGGTTAACAACTTTACTGATGCTGGTGGTAATAATCCATTTGAAGATCTTGCTGCTTTGGTTTTGACAATACTTTCATTACCCTGGTCTAATGCTGCCTGTGAGCGAATTTTCAGCCAAATGAACATTGTCAAGAGCAAGTCAAGGAATAGAATGAAATCGCCAATGTTAATATCACTTTTACATATTCGTTCAGGTTTAAAAAGAAACAAAAAATGCTGCCATAATTTTAAATTTCCAGATAGTATTGTTAAATCCATTGGGACAATGAATGTTTATAATTGTAATGTAGAAAACGAAATATCTGAAATTACTGAAATACTTGATGATCTACCAGCATTTATGTAGATTGTAGTTTTACTTATTTATTTTTTAATAGTTCAGTAATCCTTATCATGTTATATTTTGTAATATTATCATGTTTAAAAAATAAATATCTGGTTGAATATCTAGTGGTTAAAATTTTTTTCTGGTTGAAATCTAGTTGATTTTTATCAGGTAAATAGTTTTTTTTTAATTTTAATACTTGGTAACACTGTTAATGACCATTCCAGAAAATAAAGGAACAATAAAGTTTTTAAAAATGATGAATAATGTATTGACATCATATTTGGATAAAAATATCAGTATTCAAGAAATAATCTACCGTATTTGGTATTCAGTATATTTCTTAAGAATTTAGAGGAACTCTATACGTCTTAAGAACAAGCAATATACATTAAAAGACAATTTCATTATTTCTAATGCATTTTCCTGTATCGAGCTTAATGCTGTAGCATTAGTTCAATTAGTGAAACAGTTCCAAAATAGTAATGGTAATTTGAAACCACATATGTTCCTACCATGGCATTTCAGTAGTCAAGCCTGTGAACATTTATTCAGGACAACTCGATCCATGACGTCTATCTATTCTACTGTTGTAAACTTTAGTTTAAAAGACATACTACAAAGGCTTACACGAATAGAAGTACTAAATTGTATACAAAATGATCTTTAAAATCAAAACATAGAAACAAAAACTTTCAATTTCCCTAGACTTGAAAAACATAATAGAAATTTTATATACCCTAACATAGTTGATGACCATTCATTTAATTCTGAATTAAACAATATCGAAGAGATAAACATTGACCAATGGATGTTAACAAGTTTGAATGATGCAAAAGAGGTTGCTATCAATTTAGGTGAGTTTAACAAGTATTTATATTTTTAAAAGTTCAAAGTTCTTCTTTAACACATTTAAAATATTATAACAATTTAATTATTATCTTTTATATTACAAGTATTATAGTAGATGAAGATTCGTGGTTATCACCAAAATATTTACTGAACTATACCAATCTAACAGATGAAGTTATCAAATCAAAAAAAAAAGAATAATATAATTGAAACTGAACAGCATAACACTGAATCTGAATCCACCGTGTTAACTGAATTAATAACTGAAGTGCCTGATGATGTCTGTATAGGTAGATCTATGTGATATTTCTAAATTTGGTAATTTTGGTAAAGGTCTTAATATAAAAGATTTTTCTAAAATTTCACAATATTTAAAAATTATATCACAAAATGAAAAGCCAAATGACGATGTTCAGACAGAATTTGTTTGTGTAACAATCAATAACAAAGATTTAGTGATTCAAAAATCAAGTTTATGTTGGCTATTAGATAACAAGTATAGACGAATTAGTAATGACCGTCTAAGACGGTTCATGAATAATAGCAAACAAAATACTATATTATCAAAAAATACTACTAAGCCAACTCAAGTGCAAAAAATTAAAGACATAAATAAAACATCTGCCAAAAAAATTATAATAGAAAATGATAGTTCATCAGAAGATGTTGATGACCCTTCAAGTATGACATTTTATGATAATAAATTATCTGATTTCAATACTTATGACAGTATACAAGATGAAATCGAGTACCAGACACCAATTTGGGCAAACATAAAACTGGGTACATATTTATTAGTACAATTTGTTGGAAGTGGATCTTTAAATTGTCGTAAAAAATCAAGGTTCTCTTATGTATACTGTGTGACCAGAATTGATGATGGTGACGGTGAGATAATTGTTCAAGGTATGAAAAAAGAAAAAACTACAGGAGTACACGGAAAAACTCAGTTTAGTATGAAAGATAATGATATTTCAAACATAAATCTTGAAATGGTAATAGCTATACTTCCAGAGCCCACATTATTTCATAAATCGAGAAAACTAATATATGAATTTCCAGCGTTTGTAATTGTTCAAGAAATGTAATAATTTCTTTACTGTAGGTATTGTTATTCTTTAATATTAATTTATTTTTTATAAACTAATGAAAGTTTATTTTATTTTAATTATTTATACTTGGTATTCAAAATGGAATTGAAAGTCTGATATGTTAATGTACCTAGTCTTGATCATAGAACTGTAGTTAATTTTAATAATTTATAAGATATTATTTTAAATGCATACCATTAAAATGTTATTAGGTATATATATATATATATATAAACTTAATAAATAACTTAATATATATACTTTTATATATATTTATAAACTATAAATTAATAATTTTTAATTATTTACAAAATTTGTATTATTATTTTTATTGAACATGGAAGTCTGTTTATTTTTTAATAATTAATCATTTTAAAGTATGTAAATGTTGTACTGTTATAGTTGCAATAGGTATATTATATTAATTTGTTTTATTTTTTTGTTTTAACCATCTATAAGATCCAGTATAAGTTTTTATTTTTAAATTTTATATATTATTAATTTGTTTTATTTGTTTGATATAACTAGCTGTAAGATCCAGTCTTTAAGTTTTTATTTTTTAAATTTTATATATTATAAATTTTCAAACATTATTTCAGAAATGTTTATTACATAGTTATTATAAGAGCAATATTGTTAAATTCAATCGTATTTAATTTATATTTAATTATTTTTTTTAAACATGTATGTGATATATATCTAAGAAATGTTATCTCAAATGTGATTAACTCAATTATAAACAAAACATTAAATAATAAACCAAATAACAAGCAAAGAATTACTTTATTTTCAATTACCTATTATAATTAGTATCTTTTATAATCAATGTTTAATGTATACATAACGAGATACATAACTAATTAAAACAAAAATTAAAAAATAATAATATGCCCAGAATAAAATGTCACATTAATTTAAGATCAATAATGATTAAATTATAGTACTAATTATAGACTCTTATTGTTTAGTTAATCAACTATAAGAATATTTTGCAATTAACTAAATAATTGATTAATAAAAAGTATTAATTAGGTAATTTTATATTTAGTAATCATGGGTAATCATGAGTAATCTTTGGCAATCATGGGTAATCTTTGGTAATCATGGGTAATTACTGGTATTTAGGTATTTATGGGTAATCTTTGAAAATCAAGGGTAATCATTGAAATCAGTAATCTGGTGTACACAATTTCTGTCAGATGTTTACTCCTCGGTATACTATTGTTTGGAACCTACTTAAACTATCATGTTGTTCTAACTTGAAATCTAACTGAAATAATTATAATAAAGTTAAACTTATACATTATACCTACTATAAACTTCCTTCTTTTATGTTTTTTTTATACTTTAATGGGTATAAAGTTATCGATATCAATGCGATGATAATAATTATTATATTACATTACGATAACGACAGGTAAGTTATATTTTTCAATATACGTAGGTATGTATTTATCAGTTTTAGACAAAACACATTAAGAAACAACCAAATTAGGAATGAATTTCATTACAGATGCAGTTAGCCAAGAAATAGAAATAGAAAAGGTAAGCTTTTAGCAATTTTTAATGGTTATCAATTCAGTGGCGTGTTGACCGTGATTTTGAAGGGCAGATGCCCGATCATTTTTAAGGGGTGGGTGCTGGGTTGGTGGGTACTGGATTTAGTAAGAAATATTATTATACAAGACTACCTGACTACATCATCTGAATTAATTTGTTATTTAATAAGAATAATAACTTCAATAGTTATAATTATGCTAAGAAAAGCTATCTAATAGTATACCTACATATTATTAATTACACATTATACTACAGTGTACATTCTACGAATAAGCAATAAATTAAAATAAGAAATTATAGTATTATGCTAGTGACTATGAGGGCATCGGCATAGGCATTCCGGCATAAGCATCTTGAGAATATTATATTATTGCGATATAATCTATTTTTAGAATCATAAACTCGGAAATATCCAGGTTTCAGCCGTTTGTAAAATAAAGTAATTTATATTGATTTAATAAAGGTACTTTTTTGTTGTATATAGTATGGCACATGGGTCATGGGTAGCGGGTACTGTGTAAGAATTAAGGGGTGGTAGGTTATTCAAAAAATGAATTGCCCGATAAAATATTTCACTTCGCCACGCCACTGTATCAATTCAGAAAATACACACAAAATGCAAATGCGACAGTTTGGGTATATCTGAATGAAAAAAAGGGATAAATGTAAGGGTCGTATGAGAACTAAAAATATAGAAATAATTAATTTTTCTGATCATTCATGTAAACCTTAAGTGGCAACAAACGAAGTAAAAAATAATTAATTATACAAGAAAAAGAATGCGAGAAGAGTTGTCATATACATCATCACGATTTTTTCGTTAAGAGATGTCTCCTTTATTTCAAATGACCACGTTACTACTATTCCTACATACGCTTCCGCCAAGACAAAATTTAAATAAGATTAAAAAATTTTTCTTTTGTTCAAAAACTTGTTTAATAGATCATAATAATTTATTATAAAATGACATGTCTTAATAAAATTGAGTCTACAAATTAATTATTATATCATAACAGTTTTCAATAAATATTTAAAAAACTTATAAGCACGCCAGTAAATATTAAATAATATTTATTGCCAATCTTAAGCCTATACAAGTGCGAAAGAAAGTTTTACGTACGTATCTATACCAAAAAATATAACTTACCCGTCGTAATCGCAATGTATTATAAATTATAATAATTATTAATTATTATCGTTGCATTGATATCGATAACGTTGTACCAATTTGTTTATAAAAATAACTTAAAAGATGGAAAGTTTATAGTATATAGTATAATTTTAACTTTATTATTATTATTTCAGTATTGTAAAACCAGTTCATTGGTGTAAAAAAAAATAGTGACCGCAAGTGCCACCAAAAAGGTATTGACCGTAACTGTGCCGTAATCGTTCTGCGGCGATCTTATAAATGTCATCGTCTAATTCGGTCGCAGTTCCAACCTGACATATGGTCTACTGGAACATGCCGTATTCCGGCTGACCACCCGTGGGTGTTTGTATGCTCTTAAGGCCTAA